AGGCTCGAAGGTTGCGCAGACTGACGATCCAACCGAGAGCGGAGGGCAAGACACCCGGAGCTCCAGTCGCCAACTCGGTATCCTCCAGTTCAAACTGAGTGATGGACTGGAGAGGCAGATAGAGGCACAATGACAACATTTTGAGTCTTCCTTTAAGTGTGTGCAAAACAGACAGGATTGAAAAGAAGTGCTTAAAGATGATGATCTGCCGTACCATCGGATCAAGGAGGCGAATGAGATTGAAGACGGGTAGGCGGAGCTCCGGCAGACGTTGCATCAGTAGGCGATTACAGGAAAAACGGAATGGAGTCAGCGTCTGGAGAGCAAGACCGAAGGGAACCTCGTCCACAGACATATTGCAGTCCAGCCGGATTGTTACGGTATCTTTAGGGAGAAGCAAACGTCGGACATCAAACAAGAACTTTTCGTTTGTCGACAGAAAGTTACATTTACTTTTTTGCTCCTCAGGACATAAGAAAAAAGGTAAAACCTGATGTGGAGGATATCTGTACGTTGTGTTGTCCACTGCTCCATAGCAAACGCAACTTCCAAGAAACTATTTCGTTTGAGTTTAAATGGATGGTAAAATATGGGTCCGATCGGAGATTTAAAAAAAACTACGGGACAGTAGACAAATCTATTTTTGGAAAAGATGTGGAACTAATTAATTGGAACAAACAAACGTAACTTCTTCAACACCAGCCTAAGTGACAGAATCTCTCTGTAGAGCTTGGTATGTCCTGACCTTAATAGTTTTGTTGCAACTAAGACCAACTGCTTATTTGTTTTCAATCAAGAATACATGACGTTAATTGTCATAGTCTAACCATATGTTCATAGGGAAGTCATTTCAAAGATACTAGTCAATTTTAGTAAATATTGCGAACCTTTAAACGATTAAGGTAAATCGAAATGGAGCCTCTTGAGGCAAACAGAGGACTCTGAAGATTCAAAAGATTTCTTGACTCAAAAACAATATTAACAAAAACAGGCCACAGCTCAATTGATGTGGCTTATTAATTCCGGCATCAATGCTTATTCAGGCAAATATCTAGAAACTGAATGACCGAAATGCTTGATTTTATTCTTACAAAATATCGTGGACACTCTGATGTCAGCGTGAGTACTATCTCTCGATTTATTTGTAAATAGGTTCATGAGAGATCAGGCCTTGGATGTATCACTTAAGACTTTATCCACTTTCCTGGTAAACTCTTTTGATGTTGCTATCACTTTACTGAAAACTAAAAGGTGGATCTAGATAGCCTTAAAGAGCTATTTTGATGTCAATATGTTTTACGGTTAGTTCGTTTCCCCTTTAAAATGGCCCTCATTGAGTAATCGAGCGTGGCACAACATACGCATGATAAGTTTTTTTTCCAAGTGCGGATAATCGGTTTCTGCGATATTATAATGCTCTTATCAAGCATTCGATAGATATTTGCATTCTAATATCATCCAATGATTATAAATACGAGCCCTGTACAGGTAGTTTATGTCCGCAGCAAAATTTTACTATAAACACCACGAATGCCGTCGGAAATAAGGTTTTCCCCATGAACTGACAATGGCTGGGAAGAAAGATGAAATTCGTCTACTTTCTACCAAAACTTCTGTTTTATTTATCAAGTGCCCTAGTGAGACTTCTGTAAGCATTGAGAGTGCTTGACCGTTGACGTTTGAAGGTCAGT